TTTATTGCTTCGGGTTTAAACATATGTCATTTTACAAAATGTTTCCTTAATGAAAAGGAAACGTTCAAGGCTGCTCACAAGCAACACCTGTCAACACTGACTTACTTAAGACACCTTCGGAGGAAAACATAAGCACGAGCTTCTGAAAGGCTGGCATTTGCTGACAGCACTGGAACACCGAAGTTGGGAACGAGGAAAAATTAATCCTTATTTTTGTGCCTAACGCTGACAATAAAGAAGATGTTCTTTCGGGGATGTCCTGCTGCCCGCTCGGGGCGGCGGGTCCCGCAGCAGCACCTCTACTCTGTCTGGGCGCGGGAGAGCATCACACACTGACATTTCTATAAGACCCAGGCTTATGGGAAGCACTGCTTAGAAACAAATCCGTGGCATTTTTATTTATTTTTTTTTTGGTCACGTTTGTATACCCACAGAGCAAACAGCACAAGCTGGAGGCGGCTTCCCTGCCCGCGGCTCCTGGGCTGGGCTATCCGCTCACCCTGCCTGCACCTCACCGTGCTTACTTTAACCCCCCCACTCCAGAGACTCCAAGACGCTTCCATGCACCGGTTCCTCGCCTCGCCGTGGATGCCGTCCCGGCGCTCCCGCTCCACCCGCGGGCGAGTCTCTCCCGCGGAATTCCCCGCGGGCACCCCCGGCGCGGCCGACAGGGGGCGCCGCCTCCCGCCCGGAGCGGCCTCAGGAGCGGGGGGGGAGCCCGGGGGGGTCCGGGAGGGACCGGGGGGGCCCAGGGGGAAACCGGGGAGCCCGGAGCCGAGCGGGGTCGAGTACAGATCTTTAGTCGTCGTGGATAAAAAGAGATTAAAGGCTAAATTCTTTCTTTTTTTTTTTTTTTTTTTTTTTTTTGTCAATTTTAACCAACTACGGAAATGTAGAGCTTTCAATCCTTTGATGTTTCCCCAGAAAGAAACTGTTATATCGGGTTGTGAAATTACATCGTCTCAGAGCCAGCGAACTAGCCGTGGAGTGCTAAAATAATTTAATTAAAAATAATAATAATATAAGGACCCGAGCTTCCGCAGAGGCACTTAAAAGCTGACACGTGCTCCTCCGTCTCCCCTCTCCCTAGCGCTCCCGATGTTTCCTGACTGCCGTTTGATAGGAATAATTAAAAATAAGATAACCCCACGCTAGCAGGGAGCTCACATCCCTCGCTTGCAGCACGCTGTCCTCACCCTGCCCCTGCACGGCCGGCCCTACCGCCCAGCTCCGCTCCGCAGGGGCAGAAGAGCATAAAAAAGCAAATCGCTAAAATCATAAATCAAATGTTGGACTTTTACCATATTAACACTAAATAAAATTGTAACCGGCTACCCACTTTCCCCCTACTACAAAACCCCTTCACCTGTATTTAAATAGCACGTCTTTAATTACAGCAGTTGGGGATGTATGAGGCTGAAATGAAATTAGCAGTCATTACCAGTCCTTTAACTCTGTGGTGCTTTTGATCAGCACTAAATTAGCTTTCCAGTCCTAACAAAGGCTCTATAGCAAGCAGTGGGCTGTAAATAAGACAGCTCGACCTGCCCTCAACACCTTTTCTCTTGTCAATCACAGCTCTATCATTCAGCCCAAGATTAACCTTTATCTACCAAATTCTTACCAAAAAAAAAAAAAAAAAAAAAAAAAAAAAAAAAAAAAAAAAAAAAAGGGCCGAGGCTGGGGGGAAGAGGGGGGAAGTCCAACCTCAACTTTGCTAACTGTATCTAAAAAGAGCTTCTCTTTAAACAGTATTATAATGAGCCCAGGTGTCAAAATCAGTCCTCTCTCAGCCCCAAGTGCATCCGAAGGCAAACAAACGTATGGATGATTTATTATCACCGGAGAGCTGCCCGGCCATGCGCCGCCTTTCCCCCCCCGGTGTACCCCCTTCTTGGGCGTGCGAGGCCCGAGGAGCCCCGCCGGGCTGATCCCCCCTTTCCCCGGGATGGGGCCGGGAACGCTGCGCGCCGCCGGAGGGATCGGGCCGGGAACGCGCCGCGCCGCCCACAGGGGGCGGCAGAGAGAGGCGGCCGCGGGCCCTCCGCCAGCGCTGCGCGCCCGGGAACCCCCGCGGCGGCCGCTCCGCGCCCCGCGCACGGCCCCGGCCCTGCGGACCCACCTCCCGGCGAGGGGAACCCGCGGTGCAGCGCTGGGAGCGCCGCGGTGGCTCCGTGCCCGCCGCCCAGAGCGCTGCGCGCTGCGCAGCCGGGAGTGCGCGCCGCTCCGCGGGGAGCGCCGAAATAGCGGCCCCGTCTGAAACACCCCCGGGGCGCGGCGGGGGAGCGTCCCGGCTCCGCTCCAGCGCTCTCCGCGGGCCGTGTGCTCCCGGGGAGAGGGGAAGGGAGGGCAGAGGCAGCCTGCGGACCGGGAGCGCCTCCGCCCAGCCGTGCGCTCGGCGCTGCGCCGCCGCGCAATTTCAGCCGACCCCAAACCCGCGCGCGAGTTCCCCGAGGTTAAGGCGGCGGAGCTCGGGCCGGTGGGTCGTAGGTGGGAAGCTACACTTCCAGATCATTTTAAAGGTCACGGGGGAGGAGGGGGGAAAACTGTGAATGTCAAAGTTGTGCTGCAGCTACTTACATGTCGGTGCCAGAGCAGGGTGGTGGCTGTGAGCGGTTTGATTGGCAGCTCAACGTGAAAGTCCGCGCGGACTCCGGAGCCCGGCGCAGCCCCGGGGGTCTGAACACTTTTCACCGGACAGAGGCAGTTGAAGGAAGCTCGCACGTCCCCTTCTTTTCTCCTCTCCTCCTCCATCCAGGACAGAGAATGAATCCATTTCGGTTTTTCTTCCCTCGGCTCTCCTTCCGTTTGCCTACACATCCTCCAAGTCCTAGCCCTAGCTTTTAACTGCAGTCCCTGGAACAAGAGGGGAAAAAATCGTTTATGGCTTAAAAAATCCAAATGGCTGATTTCGTGTGTGTGTGTTATAAGAATGCACCCACAACAACAAAAAAGTCACTTCTCTGTCCCCCACCGTACAGCAGAAGAATAATAAAAAAGCTTTATATTTTTGCAGTGGGTATTCAAAGATAATTTGATGCCATTGTTTCTGCTACAGATGGTTCTTTTTAATACAATAACACTGCTCTTTGTGCATACTACACACAATAAAAATCGAAAGCGTTCTCCTGAATAACCATTTTGTTCTCGCTTGTATACAGGCCAACAAAAGCTGCCGTGAGGTAATGGGTTCTGTTTATTGAAGGCATAGAATAGAGGTTTGATAAAGATTTTTGTATATGGGGGAAAAAAATTAAAATAAAGACCTTGCAAGGTCGAGCTGATCTCTGCGTATTTATTACCACTGAAATATTTTATCAATATATTTTTTTGAGTTGCAGCTGCAGGGATCCTTCCTCCCCTCCCCCCATCCATAATCAGCCCAAACATCTGTTTCTTTGAATTTGGGGAGATCTGTAGTCGTGGCCAGACCTAAAAATCCAGACTTTACGAGCCAGCGGGGCAAAGGGGCTCAGCGCGAAGGCAGCGGGCGATGGGGAGGCGAGGCTGAGCAGCCCCGGCTGTGCCTGTGCGCGCCTATCTTTGTGTGCCTTGCTTTGCAATCTGCTGTCCACGCACACGCGCACACAAAGGCGCAAACTGGTGCTAACAGCCGTCGGGATTAGCCCACGGGATTTTCCGGCGCGCGACGTTTCCCTGCACTCCAACACCCTCCGCGGCGCGCAGCTCCCGCGCATTGCGGCTGTTGCGCGGGTTTTGCGCGGCAGTTGCGCGCCGCCGCCGCCGCCCGTAAAGTTCCTCAGAGCCTCCAGAGCCGCCCCCACAAACGGGGCTCCGGGTGTGCCCCGCCGGGACCGCGGGCTGCGGAGCGCAGCGGGCAGCGGCAAACGGGAGCCGGCGAGTGCCGAGGGTGCTGCGGGTTCCAGCAGAGTTCTGGTGCGGTGCTAACTTTCTGTCAAGTAATGAATAAATTAGCACCGCTGAAGGGGGAAATAAATGTTAGAGGGAACAGTCAAGACCCACAACGACTTTTTTTTTGTCGTGGAAATTGTTTCACAGGTCAAGAATTCTGCGCCCGAAAGTCGCCCAGTTACCTAGTTTGGGATCTGGTTATGACTGTAGCAACTCGAAGAGAGCCCCAAAGCAGAAGAAAGTGCTTAGACAATGGGGCTCTGCGGGAAAGTTGTTAGTCAGTGACTGTGTTTGTCTACCTTTCTATAGGAATTAATGCCACAGTTCTCTGTGCCTCTGTAGCCTGGACTGACAGTAATCCACCTCTGTGACTTCTGCCCTTTTTGTTTTCACAAAACTCGGCTCACTTGTAGCACGACAACAGCATGGAATAATGACTTTAACCCTCAAACGTTCTTTAATTAGCTTTTTCAGCAAACTAAAAGATGCTCAAATGAGCCCTTTGACAAAAACTGACCTGAGCCTTCAAATTCTACTTTCACTTTTAGGACTAAGACGTTATTGGTTCACAACTCGTCTGAAGTCATCTAATAAGGGATTATTTAGGAACTATTACCCACACGCCAATTAAAGCCTCTCCGATGAAATTCGGGAGACAAAGATAAGCATCAAAACGGAAAATTAAACTATTTGCACATGGCTTGTTTTTCAACAACCCATTTTCCATCTCAGGATAAACATCTTTGCGCCAGCTCGCTCCGCCGGAGCGGGGAGGGTGCGGGGAGCCTCTCCGGGGCGGCCGCGGAGCGGCGGCCGCGGCCCCGCCGGCAGCGCCCGCAGCAGCGGCCCCGCAGCCCCCGCACAGGGGGCCACACTGCCGGGGACGGGCGAGCTCTGCTTTCCAGGCTTAACGCCAAGAGGAGGCTCGCAGGGAGGGTGGCAGAGCTCACCTCCGGGCACGGAGTTCAACCAACCTCCTGTCATTTTGCAATAGCCTTTACATGTTAAGGAGGAGCGGGGGGGGGGGGGGGGGGGGGGGGGGTGGGGAGGGAGGGGGGGGGGGGGGGGGTGGGGGTGTTTGTGTTGAAGTGGTATAGAAGATCCAAACGTGCCAAAGTTCAGGGAATCGTGTAAGAACTTTCCTAAGATTCGCGAAGAAAGTACCGCTTCTCCTGAAGATGTATTTTATTTCTCAGAGCAGTGAAGGCAAGAAATTAGCAGGAAATGAGTATTTTGCTACCTACGGTGGTTCTCTGGGTTAAATGGGAACAAGGTTCTGAACAGTTTAATACTGACTTATCAGTGAAAGATGATATCTCTTTCTCTTTCCAGCCAGAATATCCCGATGGCTCAGAAATCTTACGTCGTTCTTAACCACTGTATACAAATTTTGGAGAGAGTTTCCAGACAAATTACAGCAGCATCCTACGGCAAGCTGACAAAGAGATTCCAAGAATGCCACGCATCTAGGAGGGAAATACGAATCCCTCTCTTTAGCCTGAAGCACGAAATTGGCTTAAAGCTCATTTTGCAGATAACCAGAAACGAAATCAGCAGTGCGTGGACCGGGTGGCTACAACTTTTTAATGCTTTGCAGCAATTTCTAATACTTTCTGGAGGGAAAGAAAAACAAACAAACAAAAGTAAAAAAGTGAACCACAAATTGGAAGGGCTCTGAAAGAAATTCGCATCTCAATACGCATTTTTCGCCCTGGTCTGCGGAGGGCTGGTCTCCCACACGGGCATTGGTACCCTTAAGCCTCTGTGTCGAGACCGATCCTACGGGCTGGGAAAATAAATATCCTAGATTTGGACTTTCACAATTCATTTTAGGCTAGGAAAAAAACCCCCACCTGCATCCAGGTGCATAGATAAAATAACGGATCACCCCAAATAAGCTATATATAGATATATCTCGAAGTTGTGTGTTCGAACAGAACAGACCAATAAGGTGTTTACTAGACACGGTCTCCCGTAGAGGGGCTGAGTGCCGGAGTCTGACTCCCAACTGTGTCCAGAAAAAGAATAATTTCAGACTTTTGGAGTTCTGACCCAGGACAAAGCACTGATACACTGGCGCTGTTTCAAAAAAGAGGGGGCAGCCAGGATGCTGCTGCTATTTTTCGCCCCTAGCCAATATTTCTGCCCTTGCCGTGTCCGACACTGCTCAGCCACAGCCTCTGCCGGGCTCCGCCGGGCACGGACCGCGCTCCCCCTCCCCGGGGCTCCGAAGTTAGTCTTCCCCGGAGGAGTAGAGGTTAACACCGAACTGCACAAGCCCTTCTTTCCCATTCTGGCTCGCTGACAAGAGGGTTAAAGTTTAATATCAGCGGGCTGCCCCGAGTCACCGCCTGCCCACGGCTGCCGGCGGCCACGCGGGACCCGTCCCGGGCCGTCCCGGGTGGGGACGGCGGGTCCCGCCGCCCCCGCACCCCTCGCCCCGGACTCTGGGGAGACTGCGGGACCCGGGTGCGGGGCCCGCAGCAGCGCTCGCCCACCCCCCCCGCTAACCCCGCGTTTCCTTCGGGACTTCTTTCCCGACCAAAGGAGCGTCCCAATCCATTTCTAGAAGTTCTCACCCTCTCGTTTCACTTTAACGACGTTCGTGCTTTTCTAGTCAAAAAATCTACGAGGGGGAGGCGTGGTGTGCTGTCCGGGCACCGGATGCTGAGGAATACACTCCTCGGGAAGGATGGACACGCTTCCCACCACGCCGCAGCCTTGAAACACACCACGTCTCGGGACACACCGATAGCAGGTTGGTTTTTTTTTGGTCGCTCTCCCCAGTCCTCCGGGATATGACGGTAGAAAATCCAGTTACTGAGAAGCAAAGAAGCTGTACCGCACAAGAGCAGCTCTGGAGGAGCGGCAGGTTTGCAGGACGGGCAGGCCCTTCACTGCATGGAAATCTATGGAGGAACTTTAGATGTGCCTCCTAAAATTGCAGAGTTTTCCACTGTTTAGTTTTTTTCATGATTGCTTTGGGAGACCCAAGACCTGTTCATTTATTACCTCAACATTTACTGCAATATTTTTGCTATGGGTAGCTGTGGTGACAAATATACCTTTACTGAAAGATGACTACATGGTATAGGATAAATGTCTCCTGTGAAGAAGAGTAGAAAGTATAGCACTGGTAATATTATGTATTTTGTCCAAATATCTCTGGCACTTGATACCTTTATACATTCAATTCCTTAGATGGACACGTTCTTTGGAACTGGACATTTTTTTTTACATACTAAAGCTGGATTTATCAAATAAGTGAAACTTGTTTGCAATAACTCTTAAATTCCTGTGTATGCTATGTCTGCCTTACAAATATATTGATTCTAAAAATGTTTTGGTAAATAAAAACAAAATAAATAAACAATGAGCGTATATGTGCACACACACTATATATATATATACACACTTTACACTGCATTCTTCATGCCCATGCAGATGGTATATACTATATATATATGAAAATATACAAATACAGTCTAGTGGTCAGTATATAATGTTGCACATTCAGAGGAGTCAGAAACTCCCTTAACTCATAATTCCACACATGGATATGGAGTTTGCATGTGCTCTCACATCTTAAATGGTGTGGGAAACATGATTCTTAATGCTAAATTCTGAATATGTTACCATGGAGAAGGTGATAATTCACAACCTACAAGCAGGTTCTTTCTCAAAACTTAGGTTTTCATTACCAGCTTATTTCTGCTGTTAGCAGGCTGGAACTGGAAAGGAGAGCACCAGTCTTGGCAGGAGGATCCCAGTGAAGTCTAGAGAGCTCTTCACTGGCAATATTTTGACGGGCACTTTTTTTCATCATCATTTATTTAAGATATAAGGGGTGAATTTGGGGAAATTAATTTCTTTCTCTGTGGTTCCAGTATGGTTTCAAGTAGTCCATCACCACCTCATGACAGCAACATCTGCTGATCCCCATAACTTGCAGTGACTTACCGACTTTATGAGGTAAATTCAGTTAATTTGGACACATCGACATTTAGTTAGACCCTCACAATACTTGCCCTTATTGTTCTCATTTTTTTTCCCCATCTAGCCACTATAGAGCCTCAAATAAATCAGGGTCCATAATGGGCCACAACACACTTCTTCCTCTGAACAACACAGGACCTAAGCAGGAATCCCTATGCATAATTTGAAACCCTCCACAAGTATTACAGAGTAGCAATTCCAAGGTTCCTGACAGGTCAAGAAACCCGGGTTATTTGAAAAAACGTTAATAAATGAGAATATGCAGAAATAAGGGATAGTTATTTGCATCAGGAAAAGGGCAAAAACCTCATACTGTAGTTGGCACTGAATTAAAAAGTATACAGCGGATTAGATATCAAGCACTCCTATCAAATACAAGGCCCAGGAACCTAGGGGGAGTGAAGTGTGTAAGAGCAGATGCTTAGAAGGTAAAACACCCCAATTAACCTCATTATCTGTTACAAAACTGTACTGTTAATATTCTGTGTTTTTTCAACTCACTGTTGTTGTTGTTGTTGTTGAAGAGAATCTGTTGACTATAGCATATGTTTTGCTGTAGTCTCCCAAATCAGCATTGCCCTTCTTAAGGTCAGGGGAATGTATCTTAAAACATTCATATATTTAAAAAATATGTATTGTTATTTTAATAGGCACTGTGGATAGTTTAATTTGTATCTGTATTAAATTAAACATATGGTGAACAGGGTATAATAGATTTTCTATAATTTAGCTGCCAATGTGGCAACAGAAGCCAGTTACTCTCACCAGCAGACTTGTCAGTGGTTTGTTTACTAGCTTATTTGAATTAAAATAAAGCTTCGCTTCTGCTGACTGCACATCATTATCTATGAGACCATAATCCTGCTAGCAAATCCTATATCTTCCAGAACTGGCTCTTTTGTTTGGGATTACTGAGAGCTTAGCCTATAACAAAGAGGAATAAGGCATCCCTCTCATCCTCGTAATTAAGTGTGGGGAGTAATTTAGAAACAAACCCAGAAAGATGTACAATTTGGAGTTCTGCTTCTATACAGGATTGGGGAACAGAAGAGGCCAAACACTGATTATGTTAGCACAATATTTAAACTATTAAACTACTGTATAACAGGAATCCAGCTTTTAAAAAGAAATGGCAACTATCAATAAAGTATTAAGTTGCTTTACACTGGAGACATTTTTTGCTTATCTGAAGGTATGCTGGCAAATTTGGGTGGAGCTTGAAGACCGAACACTATTTTAAACCTCAGTTTTTCTACATGCATATACTAACGTTAAAACTTCTATAACACCTCAGTTTTTAAATTAAAGAGCATAATTTAATATACAAAACATTTTTTTTAAAGTACTCCTTAAATGTTTTAAATATTTCTGAATAAGAATATTTTCTAGGAATAGGAATACCTCTGGCAGCTGAACGTGCTTGTTTAAGTGCTCTATTTTGATACCACCAAGATTTATATTTTCCTTTGGGAAAACAAGTAGCTTGAAGTTGTTACCATTTTACAGCTATGACTACAGCAGTCAGGAAGAAAATAAAGAATATTTTAATACAGGTATTCTGAGGTCAGCCAATAGTATATCATCGATCTTTTGAATCATCCAAATCTGTTTCTCCTCAAAACAAGAGTTATGCCAAATACAAGTAATAGAAATTAATAACTAGGTCACAAAAACAGAAGCCTCGGGAGTATATAGATACACAATATCTATTAGCAGAGGGCTAATAAGGACAGGGGTTGATTTATAAAAGTCTTCGACATTAATTGTCACAGATGGGAATTCTGAGGACCTCTGTGAAACCAAATGAGGCCCTAGTGAATTATAAAGCAGGTCCTTAGACTTTAAAAACATTTAGGCAAAGTGACAGTTCAGAACATCTGTTAGCCTTCTGTCTGAGTATAAACTGGATGTCATGGAGTGCACAGCTGTAGGCATTTTCTGCCTCTTTTTGCCAACATCTGTCACAGCATTACAGTAATATAGGTAATTATCAACACCTCATATAAACTGTTTGCTATTTTAATTTCTGAATAAGTAAAATTAGCATTATACCCTCTTGCACAAAAAAAAAAAAAAAATCCAGCAGGGGAAGAATACACATTCCTTTTTAAAGCTGAATGACAGATCTCATAATTTTAGGGGAGCTGAAACTCAGACAAAAATCTCTACTACAAATAAGGTCCTTAGGATAACATAAAAGACTTAGGTGAGAACAAGTTTAAATATTCTCCTTTTCTCTCTCTGTTACTTAAAAAAAGACATCTAAGTCTCATCTGTCATAAGCAAAGAAGATCAGTAGCAAGAAAAGACAGGAAACCGTTAATCATCTATGTTTTTTTTCCATGCAGAAGCAGCTGTCAAATGATGTATGTTTTACCACAGTAACAAAGCCAAGGGCTCATCATCACCAAGCAATTTTACTGTCAGCTGGTCATCCTTCTTCTCAACAGTAACAAAGTAAGAGACCACCTTGCATCAGTGCACAGAAGCTCGACCTGATGCCGAAGTGAGTGGGGTAATAACCCACAGGACTTTCAGAAATAAAGGCATATTCCAGGGGTCCCTTGGCAACTAAACAGAAAGGGGCACACAGGAAGAGATGCTCTGAACAAATAGGCCTTTAAGCCAACTTTTCAAGGCCACATCCAGTTACCCCATAAGAGACGAAAAAACACCGCCCAGTCCTGAAGATCATCTGCCTGATGGTGGACAGCACAGAGAAGATTGCAAAAAGTGACCAGGTACTTTGGGTTCCTCAGTTTTGGAGGCCCAGGTGATACACTTTGTAAGAGCATGATTTCCAGAAGGCAGTTGCTTATCATTTGTGATAATCAGGCTCCTATGACATGTTGCTAGCTGAACACCAAAACCATCAGCCACTTTGACAACAGTGGCCCATGTGGTGGTTGCCTTAATGAGAACAATTTTATAAGTGCCCTTCATGGCCTTGTAGAGCAGAGGATAAAGAATGGTAGAACAACAAAGCAATGCTGTAACAACAGCAGTGGAGACACGTTGGTCTGAACATGCGGGTATGAACCTGGTGATAGAAAATAATCATGTGGCAATGAGTTTTACGAAATTTCATGGAAGTGATGATCATATCCAGCTCATACTTATTTTGCTTTCACCACAAAAAGAATAGCACCTCTGCTAGAAGCTAATGTTCCAACATGGAAAACCTGAAAAAGTGCCTTTAGCTCTTTTTATAAAGGAGGCATATGGAACAAAGTGGTCACCAATATGCTATTTTTAGTGCCTGAACTACAGTCCAGAAGATAATACCCAATTACTTGATATAGTGCTCTATACACTCTCTGAACAACAATAGTGGACTGAGAAGCAAGAGAAAGCACCAGAATATGGTTTTGAAGTCATTCAGATTTCATGTATTTTATTTTCTTCTAAAAATAAAGGCTTTGAAAAGAGGTGCAGTGTTGTCCAGGTTGAAGGAGGGGGGACAGAGAGGAGCTGAAAGGGAGATGAGAGCAGATGGAGGTTGAGACCTTGACTACAAGAAAAGACAGCTAGGGCACAGAGAGCCAGAAATCTAGAGAAAAGAAACAGAAAGTGATTCTGGGGTGTACAGCAGAGAAAGGCATCCATGTAGCTATAAGCCTGTCGTACCTGTACCCAGTAAGGAGCACCACATTCAGGACAATCTATTCTGTTGGGGGCAATACAGGATTTTGCTAATTCTGTTGTTTCCCCTAATTTCCACTCTGATGGACTGTGAATTGGGGTGGCTGAGTTGCAGATACATGTTTTTTTAATAGCCTCTGCTAGCAATTTTACTGAGGACATAGAGGACAGCCCTGTGCCAGTACAGTTTGAGGCTGATCCAGCAATTTTGGAAGGAGATGCACAGATACCTTGCTGTCTGGCTTTCTTATTTTCCCCTTTTCTGTTTCTTACTGCCTCCGCAGTGTTTATTACATCTCCTCCTATTTTCTCCTCATGCACAGTAAAAATTAGCTGAAGTTGTGGACCTGCTCCACTCAGTCTGAGGTCCACCACTCTAACAAAGACTATTCAGTGATAAGAACTGTTTTTACCGAGGTCCTAAACCACGTGTGAGATGTTTGTAGGTTGGGACTATTTCTTTCAAGAGCTCCATCCTTCCACTGAACAATTACTACTCTGGCTTTTCTTGCCAACTGTAACTCTGCATCCAGGTGGATGTTGGGGCAGGTTCTACCAAATTACAAACTGCAGGATAAATATTTTCCTCCTACTTTTGGTTTCAATGTTAAGATTCTTAAACATCTATTTCAACACTTGCAAATAAAACTATCTTACATATTCCCATCACCCTACTACCTAAATGCATTGTTCAAATGCCAAAGACTATGTGAGCTATTGCAGATCACATAATAGGTGCCTACGCATTCACTATTCTAGTAATATTTATTATTGAAACAGACTGTTTTGTAAAGAGCTCTGAGATACCTAGGCCATAAAAAGTGTGATATAAAACAAAATGCTATTCAGTTCAATAGATGTCTGATAAGAAAAGAACCCTAAAATTTGAACAGTTCCTCCTCCCCTTAATCGGTCCTAACAATGTACCCCAGTCTCGGTGCTCCTGCACGCAGAAATATCTGTCTTTTAAAGAGAGGAATAGGAACGTGCAGCTAAAAGAGAGTGCTCATTGGTAGAACATTGTTAGGTGGTTTATAATTGATAGTTTTCAGCATCGGCACAAAGGTAAGGGCTTTAGCCTTGAATACTACTCACTAACAATATACCCACATTCAGAAAACTAGTGCTAAATGTATTTATTAAAATAAATACTTTAAAATAGTCTGCTTTTCATACAAAGTAATTATCTTACACTATGTGTAAAAGGTACTTTTGTAATCAATGGTATACAACCAGCTTCAGATACAACCACACACACATCCCATTACACAGAGTGATGCTCATCAGATTGCTTGGGACTGAATCATTTCATTATGTTCTGTAGCTTAATTCTTCAATTCCTGTAGCTTCAGCTGGAATTCATCCAGATCAGCCCCGCTTTCTAAGATTCAATCAAAATACTTCAAGGCCACAACCACCAAATAGTACAATCGGCTCTAAACACAGAATACGGTATTTCACACTTTTTATAGGCTCATAGTTCCTGTTCTAATAGTGCCAGTTCAACAGGAATTTTTTTCCTTTTTTTCCCTTTTTTTTTCATGTCTAACCTATTAATTACCAAAGGACAAGAGAAGTATTTTGTGGGTATAAATGAATTTTGTAGCAGTCAAAATAGGCAGTCAAAATAGACAGTCAGAATAGACAGTAGCAACCAGTTGGAGAATTTTAAATGCTCTAAATTTACACTAGTCCTGCCTAAGAAGCTAATCACTAAGAAGCTAATGCTTTTTTTTTTTTTTTTTTTTTTGTATATATATACATTGGGTATTCCAGAACAGTCAAGAGATAAAACAAAAAATAAAAAGCAGAAAAAAATACAATATAGTAACAGGTCATGTTTTTTCCACTGAATCAGACAAAAATAATCTCACTAATAGAATGGGGTGAGTAATCATAAGGGCTAAAAATGGTTAATTTTATTTGGTTTTCTGTAGAATCCTATCTCTTTTAATTAATTTGCAAGTATTTGAATGACCAATTTATTCATAAAAATATTTGAGAGTTGTAGGCTATGCAAATTCTATTACTCATTAGTGTCTGTCAGTGTCTGATGATCAGATAATTGTGCTTATAATTCTTACACCTACAAACATTTTTTCATACAATACACCAGAAGGCTTCTGTACTTGTGTAGAGTGGACAGCACTGATCTTGAGTGGCTTTTTCCTCCCAGGATCAGTGTTTCCATGGCGAGTCCTGTGGGGATCTATCTTGTCTTTTCTTCTCCGCAGTAGGCATTTAGGGATAATAAAATAGTTAGTGAAGAGGTATGTTCTATGCTATTTTCAATAAGCTGATGATAGTCAACATCACAATCCAGACCCACAAAGGCACTGGGAAATCAAAGAGCCTTAGGCTTCTCAATACATTTGTCCATACAAGCCTACACCTCTCAAGTATCTGATTTATCCTTTGAAATGTTCCACCTTGTGGGGACAGGGACACAGAACAGAGTTAAATGACCAAAGATCTCTGAATAAGATCGAAATGGTGCTGGCTGATCATCAAATGACAGTCATAGGACTTCTCTACCTTTGATTTTATCTATCCTTTGTAGTGCACATGGACAATGTGGAGCTGTTGTTGGCCCTCACTGCTCTTGGGTGCATGGTGACAATGTCCAGGACACTTCTTACCATCCAGAGAAGCAAAAGGGAACCGTGCTGTTAATTCTAATTTTTATGTAATTGAGATTCCCTTAAGAGCTTGTCATAACACTACTCAGGTAGCGACAAAAGCTAAATTAGAAAACCAGAATCCTATAGACTAATTTAGTCCTGATATTTATAAGATCCTAGGATCCTGTCCAGCCTAATGTCTATGAATAGTTCCACCGGAAAAAAATCACTTAGACACTTGAGCACATTGGTAACTGCTGGACTGGAGCCTTGGTGAGTCAATTCATACTGCTAGTACTGCTCCTCCAGTGCCAAATGCTTGAAATTTGTCTTTTTGTGTCCTTTTTCTACATTTACTCATGCTAATAATCTAATCTTACATACTAAATATGATGATATCATTTAGGATGCTCCAATTATGGAAAAAAATAATAATCCAAATGAAAGTCCTTTGCAACACATATCATCTCCTCATCCTATTGCCATTAAAATGTTCAATTTCAAAGGACCAAGTATAATTTTCTTTTCCTTACTCTCTTTTTTTTCGTCATTCGTTTTATTTCCATTACAACTCTGGGAAAGGATGTACTTCAGTAGATGATAACTGAGACTACACTATTTAATAGATGTAGGAGCTATTCTGCATTTCAGGATGACTAAATTTAGTCCTACTAAGAAAGAAGAAGTTTTATATTTCTTTTAACAGGACACTTGTTGCGGATTAACTAACTCACATTACTTTTCTTGAAGGAAAGTAAAAAAGAACATTTGCTTGATTTTAAGCATTCTGCATCATTAAAAATGCAAATTATAAACACAATGATACATGCACACATACATGGAAGAAGTCATCCACTTAAATGGTGAAATCACAGAAACCCTCATATGAGCTAATTTACTCTCCCTTCCCACTATAAAATAGCAGAGAAATGAGAGTGCTCTATTGCAGAGAGTGAATAACAATTTTATTTCCAGTATGTATAAGCCAGCTTATCAGTTTCAGGGCTGTAACCAGACTTTTCAAGTACCTTCTATGGAATTCAGAAAAAGGTAAGAACTTCATAGCTTTAGTTTATGTGATTGCAGATTCACATAGCACAAGACCCGATTACATGAAATCTGAAACCATAAGAATGGTGGCACCAGGGCTGCGTCCAGCCCTGCATCCTCCTCCAACAGGAAAGGTCGTTGGAAGTGCAAAGAAGAACATTAGGAGAGAGTGAGCACAAAGTGCTTTTTCACTACCATCTCCAGCTACTTGAAGTTCAGGAACTTTCTGAATCTAAAACAGATTTTAATAGGATTTTGATAAATTTTTCATTCCTTTACTTGCCCCCCCTCCTTTTTTTTCCCCTAATCATGTAAGCATTACCAAAATTCCATGGCAACGAGTTTCAGAGCTGATTTATGGGCAATGTAAAATACTACTTCTCTCTTTGTTTTTAATCCTCTGCCTAATAATTTTCTTTGCTGCCCTCAGGCCTTGCTCTGGCTGTTGCTGATTCAGCTTAGGAGATTAGTGTCGCCACCTTTTCTTAGCTACTTCCCATTGGAAGTTCTCATTCCAACACAACTGCACATACACTCAGTCTGCGAACAGGTTTCATTCAAATTATCTAGTTTATCTTTTTTTTCCTTTGGTTGTTTGTTTTAAATTGAATCACATTGACAGAACACATGCAATTCTGCTAGCAAGTGTCAAGCTGCCATAAATGTTGATAGAGAAGGAAAAGAAGGGACAAGTAACAGGGACAAGGAGTGGTTGGCAACTTTTCACCCAGATCAGCAGCAGATTGTTAACATGAGAATGTTCACATGGATGTTCTCAGGACTGTAGGAGTCACAGTGTCACTGGGTCATCGTGGCCTTGTGTCTGCCCTGCCAACAAGTGGAAATTTGCATGGAAACCCACTGGGATGGAAAAAGTAGTCTATGTGTGGTTCTCTGCAACTTTCTGGTTTGAAAGCATGATAAACCTGGCCAAAGCCTGGCAGGAAGGTTATGGTGTGACTTTTCCTCTACAGATGGTCTTTAGTCATTCCTTACAAGTAAATGGAAACTGCTGAACTATTCTGGCCTCTGCTTTTGCTCTTTTTAAAAGAGAAGATTTTGACTTACCTAGTTTTTCTGGTTTGGTCTTTTTTTTCTATTTTTCAGTAGGAAGATT